CTTCCTTCTCGGTCCGCTTCCTCTTCTGCGGGAATGGCAGCCCAGCTTACAGGACTATTGTCAGGACTAAGGGACCATAGCTCAGAAAACGTGAGCTGCCATCGGTTATAAAACGAACCGTTTTGTCTGCCATGAAGGAAGAAGCAAGCTGCCAGTAAGCTGAGACATGCCCATGATTGTTAGATGCACCCCGGTTCCCGAGCTGGGGAGCGTGGACAGGGGCTCATCTGGAACGCAGAGCAAGGACATCGAAACGCTCCTGCCGGCAGAGTGCTTACCAAGGCAGCTGGTCTGTTACAGGACGGAGCCAAGAGAAAGTGTGCAGGGCCCGGGGCTCTGGGTACCGAATTCTGCTTGGTTTGGCGCGGGAGGCATTTCAGGAAGAGTTTTGCGTCGGGTGATCGTGAGCCGAGAACCCTGCCAAGGAAAGGTGGGCTGTTGGTTTAAGGTGACATTGGCTTCCCTGGACATCTAGTTCTGGCCGGCGCCTGAATTTCTGAAAACCACCTAACGACCAGCTCCCTCTGTATGCGTCACGTGCTCCAGCTGGGAGAGAGAGCTCATCATTCTTTACCATGTTCTCGCTTTCAACACTTGACCACACCCAGCTCGTCATGAAAGTTTAAGCATGTTGGATTCTCTGTGTTCACATTCTAGCATTTTCATGAACCATCGGGCACACGTTAGAAGCAAATCTGAGCTCAAACCCTCATTTTCTAATTCTTTTACTTGAAATAGAGGAGCCTCTCAAAATATCCATCTGTTAGGGACAGCATCAGGACCTTTTGCTGGAAATGGTAGTTTGTATACAAAGTGCATTCGACTTTTTACTTTTTTTTTTTTTATCCTCACCCGAGGACATTTTCCCATTTTTTTGTTCAGGTAGAGTGGGAGGGAGAGAGAGGAACAGAGAGAGAGAGAAACATCGATGTGAAAGGAACACATCAAGTGGCTGCCACCCGCACGACCGACCAGGGCCGGGGACAAACTGCAACCGAGGTACGTGCCCTTAGCGGGAACCGAACCCGGGTCTCTCAGGACCGCAGGTCGACGCTCTAACCGCTGAGCCAAACCGGCCAGGGCTGACTTTTTACTTTTCTCCTTCGTTTTTAATCTAAACATTTTGGATCCTGTGTTGTACCCAAATCGAGTTGCTGTAAAATAAAAACATATTTCAGTCTTAGTCTTACAGTATGAAATACCAGCGAGTAGAGTTCTCTGCACTTCCTGGAACTGTTGGTCAACTGTTATCCCGTGACCGAAGCCCAGAGGAACAGTTTTCACATGTTATTGGTGTATGTCGTATTCAAATGGAACCGTAAACACTGTACACTAACACAGCGGGTCCTTTTGTTTGGGGGCAATTTGCTTAGAATTTATGTGTTTCTCCTAAGTTCGTAAAAAATGGCATTGGTCGTCTGCCACGTGCCACATCAGAATATCCCAACTTTCCTGGAGCGACAGAAAAAATACCCCCGCACACTCGCACACACCAATCTAAAGTTCAGGTCTTTTTATAGTAACACAGAGGCAGGCATATTACATTATTATGCCACGTTCCTGCCAGGTTTTGACTTTCTTGAATTCTCTGTTATAAAGCAACCAGCGCAGTTTGCAAGTCCTGCAGCCGGCCGAAGGTTCCGGGAGAGCATCCTATACACGTTCACTAAGGCAACGCCTTTGGTGGGTAGGCAGGTAGGTAGGTGAGGTGATGCTGGAGAGGAGGGGAGCCAGGCGGCAGGCAGGGAGGCAGGGACAGCGTCAGCCGAGACCAGGAGTCCCCCGCAGAGCCGGAGTCGAGGGACCCGTGTGTTCCTGGTGTTACCAGCCTGTGTACAGAGTGGTGTTCCTTCTGGTCTTCATCCTGCTGGGCTAGAGCCCCTCCCAGCTTTGAGGTCCCAGGGCTGCTGGGCGGGAGAACCCTCCGAATCCCCTTCTGCGATTCAGACCGGAACCAAAGCGATGGCGCAGCCTGCGTGTGATAGAGGAGACGCAGTGTGTCTGTGGCGTGTGTCGTTGGTAGAGAGCATCCCTGTCGAAGCCGGTCTCTGAACACCGCCCTGAAGCTTCTTACGCCCCGTCGTTAAAATGTGCTGCATTGATGGCGCGCGTGATTTCATTTACTTGTTTGCTTCTTTTTCCTGACCTGCCCTTCCTTCCAAGTGTTGGTCATTCTCGGGCTACTTGGAATCACTTGGGGGCTGCTCTTTGGTTGCTCTGTCTTTCTGAGATGTGGACTGGGTTTCACTCCTTTGGAGATGCTTATCCTGAAGCCTCGTTTTCCGACCGCGTCTCTCCTGGTGGACAAAAGCAACGTCTGGAATTCTGAGCCGTACCACCATTCTCATTTTTTAGGCCATTGATTAACTCTGAGGAGAACTCGAAGATGCGAAGAGAAAGATGTGTGCCTCGCTTATCTCTAGCTTTTGTAAAATTTTTTTTTTTTTCTATCTCGATCTTAATGAACTTTGATTCCTTTCTTTAGAAAACCATGTGCTTTGCCAGATGTGAGTGGGCTCCGCCCCCTCCCGGCACACACTGTAGCCCTGTCGTAGCTCTGATAGTTCGGTCCCTTTCACGCTATATTTATTTGCTCGTTAGATGTGTTTGCAAGAACATCCCAATTTCTCTTGGGGACATACTCATATTGTAACATTGTGACTCTTTTAGTTGTGAAAGCTACTTTCTTTTCTGTTTGTAATTTTTAAATGAGCCCGTTTCTTATATCTGACGTTTTTCTGTTCATTTTTTGATCTAAATCACACATTTGTGCATGACCCGGCGCTAACGTTACCTGGTGTTGCTCCCCTCCAAGCCCTGGTGGAGCCAGCAGGGCTGGCGGGAGAAGGGGCAGCCGCAGCCCCCTGTTCCTGGCCGAGCGTGTAAAACCTTTCTCTCCAGCACCGCTGCAGGAAGGGAGTCTATTTAGCCAACATTATTTAAGAAGCTGTCATTTTTGTCTGGATAAATTAGCACGACTACCTAAATCCATGGTGGCAGTTTTACTTCGAAACCCCATCTGTGAGTTTAGATTCCTTAAATCCATTCACTCTGTGACCAGGAGCGCCCAGCAGGTCAGGGCCCCCGACGTCAACCTGCCCGGCTCTGCACCCCGGACTGTGCTGGGCTCACGCGGTCGCTGTCTGTCTGTGGGTCGTCTTTGATGCTGCTGTGTGTCCGACATGCCTTCCTTTTTTCCCTCCTTGCTTGTGCCTGATTCTGGCTCTGGCCGGCACAGCCCGCTCACTGCCTCACTGCCTGGAGGTCACGTGTGGGGAAAGACCCTGCCCCTGGGGTGGGTGGGCAGGCAGCAGAGTGCACGCCGGGCTGGGTGTGTGAAACGGCACGTGCCCCGTCAGGATTTGGTGCTCCTGGGCTGCCCCGCGAGGCTCTGTTACTAACAGGGAGCACCCTTAGTTATTCAGTGATCACCTCTAAGAATAAGAAGGGAGTGCGGCCCTGGCCGGTTTGGCTCAGCGGTTAGAGCGTCGGCCTGCGGTCCTGAGAGACCCGGGTTCAGTTCCCACTAGGGGCGTGTACCTCGGTTGCAGTTTGTCCCGGGCTCCGGTTGGGGTTGTGCGGGTGGCAACCAGTCAATGTGTCTCTCTCACATCCATGTTTCTCTCTCTCTCTCTGTTCCTCTCTCTCCCTCCCACTCTACCTGAACAAAAAATGGAAAAATGTCCTCGGGTGAGGATAAAAAAAAAAAAAAAAAAGAAGGGAGTGCGAATGCCACATGTATCCGGAATCGGGAAGTGTAAGGACGGCCTCGTGGGCTGTGGGGCAGGAGGAGCAGGTCATCAAACACAAGTCCACTCGGTCACTGATGTCCCCCTGACCTGGTTGGGCAGCTCACATCCAGGTCTGGATCGTTCTGGATCTCAGGTTTTCTCATTTGGGCGTGAGAAGTTCGGACCAGACGGTCTCCACAGTCACCTCTGGCTCCAAACTTTCCAGTAAAAAAAAAAATGTGGGTCCCAAGCAGCCTGCGCGTCTCGTCTCACGAGCGCAGGGCGATACAGAGCTCGCCGAGGGGCTGAAGTAAAACACGAGCCCTCGCGAGGACTGTGTGTGTGGTGAAAACCAGGGCTCATGCTCATTCGCTGTAGTTGCTGCGCAGTGTGTCGTCCACACAGCCGAAATTTCCAGATCACGTTTGCCTTTGCTGACTGGGTGGGGGGATATCAGCACAGTCATAGGCCAGCCGCTTGCTTGACTCCAAACCAGGGAAAAGTGATCCACCAATAACAGATTCCTATTTCTTCTCACCAAATCATGCAAAAGAGCAAAGTTGTCAGTAGAAAGGAAGGAAAAAAAAAAAATAAGAGCTTGTCAGTGACCCAGATATTTTAAACATCCTGGTATTTGAAGGCATCTGGATAATTCACAGCTTTTTTTTTTTTTTTTTGGTTCATTTATCATCCAGATGTTCACCATCATGGAAGCACCACTTGTGAGTCTATTGCAGCTAATAACTTCGAAGTGGAAAAATTCATATCTTTGTATGTTTGTCCTTTGGTGCTCCATTTTCCCCACTCTCCTTCTAAGTACCGCTTCCTTAAAATCTCCGGGGAATGTGGCAATTTGGCCAGATGCTTAGGTGTGAGCCGTCACTGTTTCTTTTTTTAATCTCCATGGCCATCCTGTACCCTGTCTGCTTGAATTATAGATTGCATTTGTCAAATAATGACACATGCAATTGGATGTCTCCGAAGACCTTTGAAATTCAACTTCCTTGAGTGGAGATTAAAGTGGGTACTCTCTGCCGGCTGCGGTGAAGCCAGGCTGTGAGGAGACCCGCATAAAAGTTTTCCCGGGCCGGCCAGTGCCAGCGCCTAGGGTCTGGAGGGAAGAAAACCAGCCACTTTTTTCTTTTGAAAGGTAGACCATTAAAACGCCCTGAAATGTGGTCTCGGTTAGAATCACCTCTGAAGTCGGCAGCTCCGTGAACCACGCCTGTCCTTCCGTTGTCCTGACCGTGTGTTTCTTTGGACGTGCAGGAAGCTCTGTCGGTGGTGAGCGAGGACCAGTCGCTGTTTGAGTGTGCCTACGGAACGCCGCACCTGGCGAAGACGGACATGACCGCGTCCTCCTCCGGTGACTATGGACAGACATCCAAGATGAGCCCGCGTGTCCCCCAGCAGGACTGGCTGTCTCAACCCCCAGCCAGGGTCACCATCAAGATGGAATGTAACCCTAACCAGGTGAACGGCTCAAGGTAAGGAGACCGCTGACGCTCGTTGCCCCGGTTTTCCCCAGTCCCCTGGAGAGGCCGAGTGGAATCAGTCATGCTTCTCCCCGGAGTCTTTCAGAAAGGCCTTGGAACAGTAACCCTGGCCGGTGCTGAGAAAATGTGTTCCCCAATGGCTTTGCGCTGAGGACAGAGGTTGTAAAACCGGTAGTATATTTACCGAGAACTCGCTTTGAAGATGTGGTGTTCAATTCAGTTTTCCAGGCGCGAGGGCTCTGTGGTGGGGGCGCAGGCTTGCACACATATGGCAGAACTCATCTCTGCGCTTTTTATTGTCTGGAGAATAGCGCTGCGTAACGTTTGTGTGGACGGAGAGTGTCAGCTAGTGGCCAGGCGGGAGCATGTGTCCAAGCCATATGCCCTTGCTCATGGACCCCCCTAGACATTTGTCCGTCACCCCCACCCACGCACCCCTCCTCCCTCCTCGGTCCCCTTCTCTTAATGCTCCTGCTGCTTCTCATCTTGACTCACACTTAAAGCCGAGCTCCCATATCACCCATAATCATTAACTTCTCTGTGCTGTCAGATAGAATGTATTATCAAATGCAGAATGAGCCTCGGCCCTCCAAAGCATTTCATCGGATGCAGTCTTGAAAAGTAAAGTTGGTTTCAATTATGATATCATACTCCATCTATATTCAGGAAGGAGAATATAAAATCCCAGGACAAAGAAAGGATAATTTTTTAACATGTTGCACGGTCCGCCGTAGAGTCCTAAGAGCAGCTCACACCTTCTCGCGCTCCCCTGTGTGCAAAGCCCCTCTACACCCAGCGCCCTGATCGTCCTCCATGCAGCCCGGCCAGAGGTGCTTGCCCCCATTTGGCGGATGAGGAAACTGAGGCTCAGGCGTTTTCGGGCTGACTCCAGATCACTGCTTCAAGGAACTCAGAATTTGGATTCAAACCAAGGGTGTTTGGGTCTACACCCAGGGCATTCTGCAGTCTGTTGCAGCTGTCACATATATTTTAGTGCTCTGTGCGTTTCTCTAAGTGCTGGGAACTATTACGTCAGCTTCTAGCGCGGCCTTGACGAAGGTGCCAAGTCGCAGCACCTTGGAGTGGGGTCAGCAGTGATGCTGCTGTGTCAGGAAGGGAGACGGGCTCTGGGCGTCCGCTCAGCTCCGTGCATCCAGTTTCTTCTGGACACTGGGACGATCACGCCGACGTTGAGCCTCGCTGTGGCCTGGGTACCTGAGGTGGGAGTCCAGCCAAGGCAGGCCCACCTCGGACCTCCTCAAGAGATTCATTTCCAGACTTCTGAGAGGTCCGCGGTAGAGAATGCCATCCCGGGGTCCGGAACACCAGCGTCCTGGGGGATTATTTGTGACATGTAAATGTCTCACAGATCAGTCCTGTCCATCTGGTAGAGTGTTGCCACCAATCACCTATGTGTCCGGGATGGGGCACAAGTAGGATTACAGTTGTGCGGAAACAAGACGCAGAGTTTGTTCTCGTGTTATCATTGACTAATTGTGGTATTATTTTCCACGCGCACTGCTGGAAACCTGCCTTTGCCCCCCCCTGCATTTCTGAGACGCAGGACAGGGCCATCGTGTTGGGAGAGTGCGGCAGAAGAGGCACAGTGCAGAGAACGCCTGGGGTCCCCGACCGGTTTCTGTCCCCACGGCGTCACCTGGTGCGTGCACGCAGGAGAGTCCTCGTGGGGACACCACGAGCAAGACGCGCATCCAGAGCTTTCTTCTTCGAACGCTGGGTTCTGCCTGCAGGAAACACATGGGGGCGTGTGGGGGGGAGGGAGGGCGGGAACCCGCCTCGGGCAGAGGGCAGCCGGCGCGGCCAGCTGGCAGGAGCAGAGAGCGCGCCCTGGCCCCTCTTTCTAGCTCTGGCCCAGGGCCAGCCTGAGGAGCACGGGTCCGCATTCGCCAGCCTCAGAGAGGAGACTCGGCTAGGTGGGGAGGACAGTGCTGCGGAAACCAGGCTTTCTCCTGTTCGCCCTGCGCTGCGTCTCAGGAGGAGGAGGAGGAGGAGGAGGAGGAGGAGGGGTCGCAGCCCGCTGGCCTGCTGAAGAGCAAATGCCATGTCCTTTGATGGGGGCCTTCAGTAGCTAAGGCCCCCGCCCACCCGCCCTCCGGCAGCCTTCCCAGCCTGAGTGGTCACCACAGGGATTCAGGACAGGGGCCACCCTGAGCCAGGCCAGGGGGCTTTGGTCCCCAGGAAAAGAACAGACTCCCAGCAGCTTCTTCCACATTCCTCAGCCCAGACCTGGAAGGGCCTTTGGTGGTCCTTTCTCAGGCCGGTGCAAAGACGGGACTCAGCTGAGGGTCGCTTTCTGGGGAAATGCAGTAGACTTTGTTTTTTTTTTAATCCTCGCCCAAGGACATTTTTGCATTTATCTTCAGATAGAGCAGGAAGGAGAGAGGGAGGAAGAGAGAGAGAGAGAGAAACATGGATGTGAGAGAGACACATTGACTGGTTGCCACCCACATGACCCCGACCAGGGCCGCGGACGAACCGCAAGCGAGGTACGTGCCCTTAGTGGGAACCAAACCTGGGGCTCTCTGGTCTGCGGGCTGACGCTCCAACCACTGACCTAACCGGCCAGGGCTAGACTTTGGAGCAACTGGGTAGTCTCCTTGCAGGAGAACAGTGGAAACATCAGTATCTTCCTGGCTCAGGCCCGCACGGAATTCGGAGATTTCTCAGGACGTCCCATCACAGGACCTCTAAAGGCACCCCCAGCTTTCGAAGCAAACTGGGATGCGTTTAGGGGCTGGGTACCAGGGGAGTCAGTCACGTCCTTCTCCTCGTCCGTCTGTCGGGCTGGCAGGGCCTGTCCATGATGAGGACTCTGAGGACTCCGTCTGCCTTTGACCAAGGTCCGTCCATATGGTTCCCTGGTGAAAAATGGGGGGCCTGCTGTTGGACAGGGCGAGGGAAGCACATTCGCCCAGAAACCCCCATACTTTGTGGAATCGACTTATGACACCGATGCCAACTGGTCCCCGAGTGTCGTCATTCCCCTCCCCAAGAACGCTCCGGGGACACAGGGCCCTGACGTGTGCCCCTGCTGTCCCTCCCAGAGCTTGGCGTGTCTGTCAGTCTCGGTTCTCCAGAGAAGCATCGCCGTAGCGTTCATTCGATGGCAGGTTTGCTTTAGGAAATCGGCCCACACAGGTGTGGAGGCTGTCAGGCCAGGTCTGCAGGGTCCCTGCTGCGGGCTCCAGGCACATTCCTTCTTCCCCAGGGAAGTAGCTTTGCCCTGAGACCTTTCAACTGATGAGGCGAGGCTCACCCACATGAGCAGTCACCTTCACTGAAGGTCCGTGGGTCACAGCTGTTAACCACCTCTGTGAGACACCTTCGCAGCCACGCCACCTGCCGAGCACCGTGCCTGGTGCCCTTGGCTGCTGGGCTGCCCGGCGGTCGGTGGAGCTGTCCCTTCAGACTCCAAGCCAGCGTTCCTCCGAGCTGGGCTGGCTGGTTTCCTGTCCACACCCTGTCACTCCTTCTAATTGTCCTTGCTCTGAGCTCGTGTACGGCGAGCATGTCGCACACATGCCTCTTGGAGTCAAGTTCAGGGGGAATTTACATATGTCGAAAATGGGACTTTGGCTGGGACATGTGGGCTATTCCCTTGGTGGCCCCTCTTGGCTCTTTTGCAAAGGCCTCTGGGAGAAGAGCCCTCTGTGCAGCGTGGGCTTTGCCAGAACATGAGCCGGCTCCTTCCACGTAGACACTGTCCTCGCGAGGGGTCCGCTGCGTGCGTCCTTACCTGTCAGTCACCCGGAGGGAAGGCCCAGTGCTTCGGGAGGAGGAAGGGCTTCATCTCCCACCGAGCGGCGGAATTCTACAGAAGCTCGGCCCGAACGCGCTCAGGAGGTCCTGAAGTAAGGGACAAGTGGTGAAGGAGAGCTCTTGCCATTGCGACAGCTCTGGTGAGAATAATGGAGGGAAGCGGGAGGGAAGGACCCGCCGCTCGGGCGCCAGCGGGGAGTCGTCGGTCGGCCTGGCTGCCGCTGTGGCAGAGGGCGCAGCTCTGGCCGACACTGACTTGATCCTACGCCGTGTGGACATCATCGTGCAGCTTCAGCGGCCTGTGGCCGCCCTGCCTTTCCCTCCCGTTTCTTGCTCCAGCCTCACTCCATGGAGAACTGCACAGACACACAAGGCCCTGCTGGGGCTCAGCGCCTGCCCGGCCCCTTCCTGACCCCCCGCTGATGGCCTTCCTTCCCGGTGAGGTCCCTAAGGCTCAGCGCCATAGGCTGGTGGGCTGGGCCGAGAAGCGTACGCACACACCATCCACAACAAAATCGCCTTCCGTTACCAGGCAGGCGGTGCTGTGTGCAAAGCAGGCTTTCCCTGCGTCTGAGCTTCCCTGTCTGGAAGATTCAGCTACATTCAGGCAGGTGGCAGCTCCTTCGCCCGTTCAGAGGCGAGGAACAACCCTTGTAGCCCACTGAGGTGATGGCAGTTCCGCGTCGGCCCCCCAGGGGCTCACCACAGCTGGAACCTAATGAATTTTGTGTGTCCAGCTGTGAGTCCTACCTCTAGCCCAGCCCCCAGACCACCTGGAGTCATGAACTTGTGTGGTTCTGTTGGGTGTGGGCTCCCCTGGGACCTCAGGACCAGCGGCATCAGAACCACCTGGCGGCTTGTTAGAGATGCAGATTCCCAGGCTCCGACCCAGACCTGCTGAATGAGGTGACCCTCTGGGAAGGTGCGGAGCACTCTGTGTTTTAATGAGCTCTTTGTGGGGTTCCAAAGCTCACAGGTCTGAGGACCACAGCTCTGTTGCAGGATCCAGGGAGGTACTGATGAGCCCAGTCGCAGGATAGGACGAAGGTGGCCCGTGACGTGAACAGGTTGGGAGAGAACAAGAGCTTGTTCCCGGGACGTCTCCCTGCCTCCCGGCCTCACGCCACAGGGCGTTGCCTGCTGAGCCCATGCGGCCAGAGAGGCCGTCGTCGGGCCTTAGTGTGGGCTGGGAAGGGGAGTCGTGTGGGATG